TTTAACTGTGGGAAAACAAAATTTATTTTACCCTAGACCTACAGTATTTTCCTTGGGGGTGTAAAATATTGTACACGATACAATTAATCAACTGATCTCATCGTTTGATAAAATCTATTTTTATTTATTTATTTTGAAGCTCATATACAGTACACGTGCGATAAATAGTTTCTGTATCAACCTACCTTATTTCCACAATATTTTTAGAAAAATAATATCCAAGTAATTTTCGCAGGCAAAATATTCAAAAAACAATAAACGCATTAATGCAAAAATCAGTTTTACTTCCTTTTTCGATTCTGCGATTGTAATGAAATCGTATAATGAGAAAAAATAATAAAATCGTTTTATTATTAATTAATAATTTTCTTATTATACTTAATTAATTCAGAAAATATTAAATATTAAAAAAATACAGTATTTTTAAAGTTAAAATAAGATTAAACTAACGAAAACCAAAAGCAAAGTGATGGAGAGATAGGACGCGCTTGTATATTGATGACGTAATACACATAACAGAGGTGCAAATTCAAAGAACCGAGTCGAATTAAGTCAGAAAAAAGAAAGTGTGCATTATAATCAAGAAAATGCGCGTATTGTATTAATCTTTAAAATATTGGTGTTAAATCTGTCTTATAATATCATAACGACTCCTGTAAATTGGGTTATCCGATAAGAATAAAATACAATACCAATATAGCCCTATCGTTGAAAAAATTTGCTTATTTTTTTCTCACCTCGAGTTTTGCTTAGTAGAAATGGCTAAAAAGTGCGCAAAATACGTACAGAAATATGGTATTACAGCACCACCTGTATTGGATGACCACCTGTCTAAAAGACCACTTTTTGAAGGAACCGTGGGTGGTCGCCATAGACAGGTTTTACTGTATACAGTTGACCCCGCTATAACGTGGGTTCCTATAACGGAAATTCCTATAACGTAGCGAAAAAATTGTAGCAGTATTCGTATAAAGTGACTCGTATAACGTCGTCGCCGACTCATGTTGCGACAAGATTGGTCGAATCTGGACCAATAGTGGACGAGCAGCCGAACTACTTTCCGCCGCCCAGCGCCACGCTACGGAGAGTTTAGGCGGCTAAATTGAGTTTGCTATCGTCTGTACAGCATTATATATAAATTAGGTACTGTATATATAATTATATATTAACTTATTGTATTGTAACTTTATTATAATTATTATATATAATTTCCGCCGTCTAGCGCCACGCTACGGAGAGTTTAGGCTAGTAAGTTGAGTTTATTAGCGTCTGTACAGTATGTAAATTAGGTATCGTAAGTCTAATACAGTACTGTAATTTTATACATTTCTTGTGAAAGAAACATTTCTTATTCAACGGCCATAAAAATTATTTATATTAATGATGTCTCCAAAGGTCAAGTTATTTTTCTGTGAAAAATTTGTTATCAGATATCGCGGCCACCATTTGGTGTGCTGCTCCGTGACGAAAACAAGCTTAAGCAATGGCGACGTTGAACAGTGCACACTCGGTAAGTAATCCTACAATTTTTTGTTTATAGCATANATTAATGATGTCTCCAAAGGTCAAGTTATTTTTCTGTGAAAAATTTGTTATCAGAAATCGCGGCCGCCATTTCGTGCGCTGTTCTGCAACGAAAACAAGCTTGAGCAACGGCGTAGTTGAACGGTGCACACTCGGTAAGTAATCCTAGTTTTTTGTTTATACCGTGTTTCCCCGAAAATAAGACATCCGCAGAAAATAAGACCTAGCACAGGTTTTGCTGAATTGCGAAATATAAGACCTCCCCCTGAAAGTAAGACCTAGCGAAGTTTTTTTTTAGTCGTAACGGTCATCGACAGATGGTTGAAAGTGGCCGTTGGCTTTTTGAAAGTACAGCCACTGATTGGTCAGCAGATAATCATGCCACACGGCATGATTTGCATAAGACTATGGCTTGGGAATCACAGATTTGCATAACATTATGGCTGGTGATCGCTAATTGGTCGGCCAGGAATCACGCCCCATCACATTTGCATAGTGCTACAGTTCAGTAAACACTAATTGGTCATTGAGCCTGATGTCGACGCTATGAAAAGGTTAAGTTGAAGCGAGAGTGGGAAGTGCACTCCAGCACGGGATCTTCGTAAGTTCCCATGCTGGCAATCAATGGCCTAGCCCGGTTTTTGGATCGGGTGATGAGGGCTATTTTTGTGAATGGTCGCTACTTGCTTGGCACTTGGGCTGGGGGTGCTGTATAGTAGTAGTCGTACCGGATGCCAGATCGGTTTTACCGGTTGAGGCATTCAATAAACTTTATCGACGTCGACATGACCGGATATACGTCACTCTTTTTTAAGTTAGACTTGGAGACTTGGAATTTTTTTGTTCAACAATAAATGTGAATTTTCTTCATGGAAAAATAAGACATCCCCTGAAAATAAGACCTAGCACATCTTTGAGAGAAAAAATTAATATATGACACTGTCTTATTTTCAAGGAAACATGGTAGCATAGTTTATATGGATTATTCCCAAAAAATTATACGTGCTTTGGAAATGTTGAGTGGAATTAGTCTAGAATCGGTTAATTTTATAGAAGAAAACCTTTCAAACAGCCTTAGTCCGTAAACTTCACACGCGTCGGGCTGCGATTGGCTCATGTATTTAATGATTCCTACAACGTAAAATTCGAATAACGTGGAATGTATCTAAGCGTTATAGGGGGGTCTACTGTATATATATTAAAAGCAATGTATATATACAGATTTAACAATTGTATTTTTATTTACATGTTGGATCCTTTTTAAGGGTATGATTTTCTAATGATTTTATAGCTTTAGTTTACATTTTACTATTTTTATGGTTTCCATTACCTTGTCAAATATTATATCATAATTTTGGTTCATTCTGTTACCAATAAATCAATTCCCACTGTCTATAAAGCTCTAAATAACTTTAGCATCTGTATAGTCTCAGATTGAGTTCTCATATTGTCATATTTGGATTCAATTCAAACTATACACTTTTGAAAGGGTCACATACATGGATTATATCTAAGACTAGAACAATTACACCTCACATCCCACTGTCACATTTGTACATCACTAGACTCAACGTATTTTATTGAGGAATCCAAAATTTTTATTGACAAAACACAAGTTAGAAATCCATTCTATAAGATAGAAAATAGAGATCTCGAGAGACTGAATAATTTCAAGTACTGGTATTTCTTATATATAGGGGTAAAAAACGAAAATTTTTTTGAATAACGAACATTTTCCCGGTGTGTGGGAAATCCATTGTTGTTCACAATATAATGAATTCTTGGAACAATGGAATAATCTGTTAAAATGAGATTTTTCTGTAGATGCTTCTCATATGGATGATTCTATGAGAACTCTTGATTGTCTATTTATTAGAAAACTGACCAATGGAAGGTTTCACCAAATATCAACAAATACCATAGTGTCACCTTGCACCCTGGTTGACATACCCAGGGCAGGATCAAGATTATTTTGCATTCCAAGCAGACTATGCATGATGCCTTTAAGTTTTTCTTTTATACTTAAACAATTTGTAATTGTACTAGCACAGGGATCGGCAACCCTTTGAGTCGGAAGAGCCAAAATTACAATTTAAAAAATTTCAAAGTTTTTAAAGAGCCACAAAATTTTTTCTTGCCAACAATAAATAGTACTCACATAAATGAAGTTTTTTGATAAAAAACTAATCTATTTATTCATAAGAAAAAATATCTATTTATTCATATATAAGTAGTGTTTTTCACAACAAATTAGAAAATAGAAACATCCGACAACGGCATCATTCGAAAGCTTCCGACGGACTGACCAAAGTGACGACGCGTGTCACGGGGGAGGGGTGCGGTGAAAAGCGAGTACAAGTGGCTGAGAGATAGAATCAGTGCCTAATCCTCGTTAATCGATTCAGAACGATTTTTAAATGTTTTTTTTTATAAAATAAATAATATTTGCATATGGAACTAAAGAGCTGCAGCTTCACATCCAAAGAGCCGCATGTGGCTCGCGAGCCGCAGGTTGCCGACCCCTGTACTAGCACATATGTAAAGATAAAAAGTATATAGACAGCATTTTTAAATATGTGATTGTTTTGTACTTGCTAACTATACATTTCTATCAATAGAAAATAATGAATTATTTTATGTTCTTTCAATATTTGCATCTACTCGAAACAGAGATAGAGCATTGGCTGTGTTCAGCAGACTCAACAATTCTGGAGCTGTTGACTATTTTTCTGCTGAACACCCTCTACAGTAGCACTCTTTTGGAACATGTTTGGTGTTTTGACATCACATTTGGTAGCATCTTTCATTTACGCTATCACTAGCTGAAACTGACCAATGAGGCTTTTTGTTCCGATGCAACATCACTCATCGTTCAGCAGATCCAGGTTGCTACGGTCACGTTTCTTTGTGCAGTGAGAGTGTAGAAGCAGTGTTGGCCATTTAGAAACAGGTTTCAGAATGTTTGCTGTAAAGAGCTTCTCAAGTGCTGCATAAAGAAACATGGCCTATGTAACAGCTACCAATTTGCTCAGTTACAACTGTTGAGTCTGCTGAATTGCTTCCACTGCCAGGTAATTATTTTCACAAGAAGTGCAGGCTCTACACCGCAAGTGCCAGACTTAGTTTAGGCACTCCAGGGGGTGCACAGTCAGCCTGCCTCTTAATCTGGTACCAGATGTACCATAAAATTAAAAGCAAGGCCCATATAAATATTCCTTAGAATAGTGCTCCCTTATGTAGAATGTTACTTTAAAACTGTCCCCCAAAGATGTTTGTTTAAACAGACTGTTCTATTATCCCTTGCTCTGTTAATTAAGCAAACGGCTCCGTTATCCGACGTTGGGTTACATGAACTCGAACGTATATCACACATACAATATATAAGTATGTTTACTAATGAAATTATCCGATCAACATCAAATAAATTTTAATACATGAAATGTGAAAGCAATAACTTAAATTCAAAACAAACTTACAGTTTACACGAATTTTCACTCGATCAAATAAAAAAAAAGGTCAATAGCTTGTAATTGTGAATAAATTTTTCAAAGACAGGACACGAAACCACGTGCTCACTTTTCGTACCTTCTCGAAAATAATGAATTTAGCTTAACAGTGTTGCCAACTTGAGGATTTTATTTTATTTTCTTAAATCGATGTAAATTTAACAAAACACACTTCCTGTGAGCATGAAAAACATAAAAATATATAGAATATGAATAATTAGTTTTTAAATAGATAAAAAACAAAATCGTTATATTATTATCAGTCATTAGCCTGGTGGCTAGTCGGTCCTAGCGTTGCCAGATTTGGCTACTTTGCGCCAAATTGGGCTACTTATTTTTCAGTTTGGCGTTAAAAAAACATTTGGCGCACTGGCTACTTTTTGGGCTACAAAAATTTGACTTAGCTACATTTTGGGCTGGTTACACAAATTATTTCATCCTTTGTTTTGTGCACAGAACGGTAATACTTGTTGCGCTGTCTACTCGTTTTGTTTTTAAACATAGTATAATTTATAAGTTTTATAATTTATTTATTAATAGCAGGTGGGTCCGGCGTTGCTCGGGCAAAAGTAACGATAACTAAGATAAAGATTATTACGTTACAGTCAACCTTACCCGTTTTCACAGAATGCAAGAATTGGGTCCCCTTGTTCTAATTAGAGAATTTTTAGATGGGTCTAAAAATATGTTCGATTTCTCGCAAAAACGAAAAAACTGCATCTGCGTATTGCACGTCGCTTTCTCTTAACAATTCCATTGTTACGTAACATTTCCATTGTTGACACTTCCATTGTTACTTAAAACTTCTATTGTTACTTAAAACTTCCATTGTTACTTAGCACTTCCATTGTTACTTA